GCACTGTCCACTAGTCTCCCACCTTGGAGATACTCAAAAGTTGCCTGGACATGGTCCTGAAGAAACAGCTCTAGGTGCCCCTGCTTGGGCAGGAGGTTGGACCAGGTGACCTCCAGAGGTCCCTGCCGACCTCAACCACTCTCTGATTATGTGAAGATTTACTGTAAATCAAGTTAAATTTTCATTGACTTGTGTGATTTAAAATGTGCTGGTCTGGAAATGACTCGTGCCTTATTTGTGCTCCTGTCCAACTCCTTGCTTTGCTGTGTGAATAATCCTGAGTCCCCGAGCCTGAGCTGCCCATCTCCCAGCCTGCCGTGCGTGGAATGCTGAGGACAAGGAAAGCAGTGGGGCAGGTGAGCTCAGCAAGGGGAGGATGGACTGCACACACAAGGTGGATACATGAGCTTTCTTTTTCCTGTTGTTTCTGTGCATAGTGAATTTTGTCACTGCCTGATTAACTCCACGATGGGGAAGGCTGGGGGGCAGTTCTGCTGTGGGTCTGTGGAATCTTCTGCACAGTGCTGCTTCCAGCTTCTGTAAAGGGTTGGTGGGAGCACACTGGAGAAGAAAAGAACTGGAAGAGTGTTTTTACTGCTCCCACATGTCTGCAGTAGCTGTACTGCAGTATGTGGACCAGGGCAGAGCAGGATGGGCTGAAATCAGACTGCTGAGCAAGTTCTCTCAGCACAGGAGGCAGCAGTGAAGGCTTCAGCCTTTCTCTGTTCTGATTTCTTTGAATGGAGAAGTTTCTGTGTCCAGACTTGCACCCTGGCAGTGATCAAGGACAGCTTTTGTAGTTGCCCATGTCTCTGGCACAAGTGGGCATATAACACCCAGCTGGGTGTACCCCAACCTGCAGCACTTCCCTTCGAAGTGCAAGGTGGGCAGCAGCCCAAAACGAGAAGGGCAGCCTTTGGCATGGTGCACATTTTTTTTTTTTACCCTTTTTAAAAAGAAATGTATAGTCCTACACCTTTGTTGCTGAAGAGTTGGTGCTGCTGCAGATGTCACAGGCTGCTGTGCCAGCGCGGCGCAGGTGGTGATGACGTGCCTGGGCTTGCTGGGCTTACCCTGCTAATTAGCACTGCTGAACCAGAGCCTCTCCAGAAGGAGAAATCAACAGGTTCTGATTAGTCCTTATGTAATCAGGACTGCTCATCTTCAGAGCATTTCGCTAATACTGACTCATCTTCACAGCCTCAGCTGATAAGGTCAAAATTGCTCCTCTTAGACACCTGGGGAAGGGGGGGCAAGAATCTTTGTGCAGATCGTTCAACTTGTTACTGACGTGTGGAAATGTGGCTGAGCTAGACTGAGTGATGGGTGTTCTCAGCATTCAGCTTTTCCTTAGGTGTCCTGTTTCCCTACTGGAACTTTTCCTTAAAATACAATGAAAACTGAAAGGATTTCACCCCCCCAAACACTGGCTTTCTGATGCTTTCCAAAATGAAGTCCAAGTCTCACCTTAGTCAGATGCTGGGTTGTGCAATGAGCTGCACTAACACTGATCCCTAAACACTCTAAGGCTCTAAAAGCTTTTTAGATTTTTTCAATATCCATCTCTTTAATTGGCTAAACCTGATCCCATCTCCAAGGTGAGAAGTCATTTTCCTAGCGGGAACCTGGCCAGAGCTGAACCATCATTCTGTGACAGGGTTTCCTCAGTCTGGGGAGGTTTTCTGCAGTCTGGACTCCACATGGGTGACACGAGGTGTTGTGTGGCATGGGGTGGGTGGTGGGTCAGGGTGTGGGATGGCCACTCTTGGCAGAGATATTGCAGAGACTGTGTCTTAGTGCATCCACGATGAAGACAACATACTGAACACAAAACCATTGCCTGGCAGCTGATTCCCATTTCTAGCAACAGGTGATTGTATTCTGCCAGTGAGGGGGTGGGTTGAATGTTTTGCAGGATGTTCTGTAGTCAGTGTAACCAGCCTCCCCAGCAGGTCTGGGAGGCAGCACATGGTGTACTCAGGCACTGGGAATGGGTTAATCACCAGCAGAAATCAGTACTTTGCCAACTGGTCTGAGGTGGGCTTCATTGAGCAAAGTGGATTTCACATAGACACTCTCCCTTGAGTCATAAGGATGGTTTCTCACTGTGAGCTCTGTTGCTGCTCTGAAGAGGCCCACGAGATGTGCTCATTATTCCCAGCAGCAAGCCAAAATATTTTCTGTGGGAAGGAGCAAGACCCATGGTTGCTCCATATCTAATAAGCTCTAAGTATCTTGTACTGAGGTAGGCGAAGAATTGATGAGCTTTTTTAGGCAAGATGGCATTTTGAAAGCCCTGAGATAAGGATTTTCTGCACTGGGTCTTACACTGCTTTGCAAATACTACAGGCTCCTCCAGAAGCTGAAGGATGGCCCTTCCAGAGGATGTGGAGCAACTCCTTGGCTGCTGCTCCCTTAATTGTTATTTGTGGGGGGTTGTACCTGCCACAGTGGGTAATTCTGAGCAGAATGCTAATCCTGCTAAGCCTCTGACAAGGAATATTCCTGTTCACATTAGTGAGGTCACTCCCAAAGATTTACCTCCAGGAGTCACACCCTTTCAACCCCCTGGCTCTGGCCTGGAGCAAATTGTCTGCCCCAGCATCATATGCCTGAAAGGCTGCCAGTGGCCAAAGGCTCCTCAGGCTGCTCTTTCCTCTCTTTCCTTGGCAGCCTTTCCATCTTTGGCAAGGAATTAAGGGGGTTTGTCCAAGAATTACCATTTGCCATTCTTCCATATTCTTTTTTTTCCCATTATTTTCCTTTTTTTTTGTAGAGATGGGTCCTTTGTTATTTCATATCTTTAGCATGGTTTCTCAAAGAAATGAGAATAAAGTTGTCTCATCCTCTTTCCATCTCTCCTAAAATAGCTTTTGAGCCTGTTGGACAACTTCTAACAAATCCAACAGCTGGGCACAAGTCTCAGATTCAACAAGCTCCTGCACATTTAATTAAATCTCACACCTTAGGAGAAACAGGAAAATCCCATCATGAGACAGAGCCAGAGGAAACCAGGCTTTTGTGGTTCCACAAAAAAATCCTCCTGAGGTAATATTTGCTTTCCTGGGTACTTTAGGGCCAGTTTGCCGTGGATGCTGTGGGTCTCCCTCTCATGGCCAATGCAAAGAGCATTGGGCTGTTATGACCCTGATGGATGCAGAGCTGGATCCCAGTGCCAACGACTGTGCCACCTCGTCCCCCTCATGCTCCCCGCCATGGCTGAGAAGAGGGACACTTCTCCTTCCCTCGCAGGGCACTGAGTGCAAGGCCACAGGGAAGGGCTGGTTTTGGGGAACACCACTCGTGCCCTCCAGCCCTGGCTGCTGCTCTTCCAAGTGAGACTTTCCGTGCACTGTTGCTTTTCTCTGCATCATCTGGTGATTAATTTAACACCTTAAAATTAGCACCGGCACTTCAGTGAGGGTTTGGGTAGGTTGTGTTTTGTTTTTTTTAATTAGATGAGGCTTTTTTCATTCTTTCCTGCAGCCCCTCAGAACACATAAATGCAAGCCGTGTTTCTGCGACGCTGGGGCAGGTTCACCTGCGTCAGCTGAAGAATGTGTTTCTTCTCCCAGCGCAATGTGCCACCTCCCTCTTTCCTCCTCCAGCGCATCCCAGTCAACTGACATCCTCCAGCTCAGCCTACGTGTGCGCGCACACGCGCTTATTAACTTCTACATCTTAATTGAAAGGGCGGCGTGCGTTTAAGCCCTAATGATGACATCCTTTCCTCAGGAACGGTCTTTAATCTTGAAGCAGAGCGGTGAACCAAGGCAGCAGAGCAGGGTTGCCAGGCGAGGCTGCTGGCACATGTGAGCACTTGGACCTGCCAGGAAATGAGGGTTTAGGGTTTGCATTTGAAGCGTGTGCCTGATGGTCCAGGATAAGGGGGGAGATGGTGAGGGCCCAGTGGGTGAGGAAGAGGAGGATTGGATGAGCAGGGGCTATATGTGAAGTCTCTTCCAGAGCTATTAAGTAGCATAAAAGACAAGTCTTTTAAGACCTGGTACATCTCTGAATGCTGGTCCATGGGCAACCCCAAGGCACTTGCCTTCACCTCTTTGTAGCCTGGCTTGTTAATATAAAATGATGAGGTTTATGGGCTGGGGGTTTCCTTTGCTTATTAATTTGTCCTGAGAATAAGACAATTAAAATCTCTAGATGTTCTTATAACACAGACAAGGACTTTATGGTCCCATATAGCTGCAATATAAGCCACTTTGTTATAGTAACTTTATGGTCAAAAAGTCCCTCTAATCCTGATTTACAGCTGTGAGTCAGGGCTTCAGTGCTGGAAGATCAAAACATTCCTAAAAATGATGTTTCTGAATAACATCAGTGGGTTTGTGAGCCCAACATTTGTGCTTTGGAGGAAATCAGGTCCTTGGCTTTCAGAGATGCCATTTAAAGATGTTTGAATGAGAAACTATTGGTTTGATGGATGGAGTGCAGTGTGCATTGGTGAGGAGTCTTCCAAGGATGCCCGCTCTTGGCTGCCATGCTGTAATAGGTGGGAAGAAGCTGGAAAAAAGCAGCAGCCTGATAGTTAAAGGCAGCAAACCTAACACAGAGGAATTATGCACCATTCTTAGGGAGATGCTGCTGTTTCCTTACTTATTTATCTGCTCTAAGAAAAAGTAAAAAAGGGAGGGAAAAAACGAACCAACCAAAAAAAAAAAAAAAAAAAAAAGAAGTCCTCCAAAAAGGAGCGGTAAATGTGCACTGCTAATCGACCAAAGCCCTGCCAAGCAAATCTTTTGTCAGATCATCTGCCCAAAATCAAAACCCTGGACTCAGCAGGCCCCGTCACCAGCGGTTCTGCCTACGAAGCAGGAAAGCGCAAAGCCCCCGGTTCCCGCGGCTTTGTTAAAAAGCCCTCGCGACACCAGCCCCAGCCCGGCCCCCCCCGCCGGCCCCTATATAGTGGGGTGTCCAATGTCCTGTCCATCCCGCTTTTGGTCTGGCTCCCGCTCTTGGTCTTGGATAACAGCCAGCAGAAAATGTCCCAATACTCAGGAAAAGTAAGTAACGACCCAACCGCTTCCCTTTCAGCCTGGGGCCGGAGAGCCCGAGCGCCCTCCGGGTTGGAGCCCCTGATGAGGATAATGGACCCGGCACACGCGACGTGAGTGATGATACTGGGAGCAAATTCGGGAGCAGGGATGGGGAGGGGTGCGGCAGAAGGAGCTGCGTTTCGGGAGCCAAGTTTCCTGTTTAAACATTCCTGCTGGAAATATGTGCGACAGAGCACGAGGCGGCGAGAAGCGTCGTAAACGCGGGATGCGCTGCGTTCCCAGAAAAACAAATGCGGTTCTTAGGAAAAAATGCCAGTGATGTCGTGCTCCTTGTGCCGGAAAGCAGCTAAAATAACCCAAACCACCCTGAAATGATGCAGCTGCAAGAGATTCCCATCTGCTCGGAATGGGGGTCCGGCCATGCCGCTGCTCCTCACCACGGGCCCGTTCTCCTCCCTCCCCCCAGATCACTTTCTACGAAGGCAAATGCTTCACGGGCAGGAAGCTGGACGTCTGCGGCAGCTGCAACAGCTTCCAGGAGCAAGGTTTCCTCAACCGGGTCAACTCCATCTGCGTCCAGAGCGGAGCTTGGGTCTGCTTCGACCACCCCGACTTCCGAGGGCAGCAGTACATCCTGGAGCACGGAGAGTATCCCGATTTCTATCGCTGGAATGGACGCAGCGACCACCTGGGCTCCTGCCGGCCCGTTGGGATGGTGAGTTGGAAGCTGCTGGCGGCGTTTGGCTCTCCCAGCCGGAGCACCGTTGGGTTTTATTTCTCCTGGTCACGGGAGCCCCGTGAATAAGCGTCATGAAAACCTGTGTTCTTTAGAAATAACGTGTCCCGTTGGGAAAGAAATGGTTTCCTGGGGAAGGTTTGTCCCATCTTGGAGCGCTCTGCAAAGGCCACAAAGCCAAGACACGGTTGCCCCTGTCCCCAGACAGGAGGAAAGTCCTTCTTCCTCCCACAGTGAAGTGCAGTGCCTTTAATGGGATGAGATATTCCTGTGGTTTTCCAGATGAGATGGCAAGGTCCTGCTAGTACCAAGTGCTTTCCCTTTTTAATGCAAGCTGCTATGAAATATGCGCCAGGGAATCCAGTAGGAGATTCATTGCCCAAGGCAAGTTTGAGCTGTGGCAGACTGGGCTCCCCACGGATGTGGAGGGGGAGTGGGCAGCCTGAGGGCTTTCTCTCTGAACTGGACCTATAGGGCAGCTGGGCTGATCCTAGCAAATTCTAACTGAATTCTCTGCTGTTGCAAACCCCACCCCAGTAATCCTAAAGTAAACCATTATTTTCCCCTCCCATAACGAAGCTTTTAAAAGCACAGTCGAGAGGAAAGTTTAATTGGGAAGATTAAAAGGTGACAAAGAAAAATGAATCTGAGTTGGGTCTTTCCATTGACTGTCCTATCACTGAAGACCCCCAGGGCAATGATGAGCCTTCTTGGAGCTGGTGAGGTTTCTCACTGGCCCCGAAGCTGCTTTTCACACAACAGTGGGTCTGTTTCAGCTCCCAAAGCACCTCCATGGTCCGTACATGGAGGGGTGCTCTGCCCCAGGCCCCAGACCCTGGCCAGCACAAGGATGTGCTCCTCCTCCCGGGCCCAAGGTTTTCCCTGTAAGATGCCAGCAAGTGCTTTGAGGCATTTCTGCAGCACAGATTCCCGGAGGAATGTTTGCTCAGGCACGGTACCCACTTGGCTGCTGCTGGTGGCTGCCTGCTGTGGAGTTTGGCATCGCAGCCCGGCCTTCTTGTGCGCTGACATTGTTTATTTGAAAAATGCATTTAGGTATTCTTTGAATTTGGCTTAAAAATATCTTTTCAGCTCGGTCTGTCCCACATAGCTCTGCCGCAGGCTGCAGAGATCTCCCCGGAGTAATTCGTGTTGTGTCACCGTCAAGGGCTCACGCAGCAACGACGATGCTGGGAAAGTTTCCTTTTCTTCTCCCTGTTTTCATTTTCCTCAAAGAAAGGCACAACATCTCCCATCAGGAACAGCAGCTACACATGGAACTGGAGGCAACACGAATTAGTTTAGGGGAATAGTCCAGCATCTTTGTACACTCTGGATACGTATCTTTCTTTGCTGTGTGGGCGCACAGAGAGTCGGGTCTGCAGCTGATGCTGTATTTGGGATGAAGGGTTTGTGGGATGGGGGGGTGGATCTGCGTATGGAAGAGGGGCTACATGTGCCTGAGCATATGCACCCCATGAGCGATGTGTTTGCATGTGTCCACAGCAGCTGCAGGAAGGTGCAGCGGGGTGCAGGGGAGAGGGATTTTTGGCAGCTTTCCTGGTTGGTGTGCTGGGAGGCAGCACGAGTTTGTGCGTGCTTTGTGCATGCTGGCACCAGTGGTCTTGGACTGCTCTTCACATTCCCCTTCCAAAGCACCCTTCCATCTTCATCTTTGTCTTATAAAAGCCGGAGAAATAAATCGTTGCTTTTTTTTGTGTTACTGTTGACTCGAACCCCTTTGTCCCCAGCACGGCGAGCATTACAGGATTGAGATATTCGAGGGGAGCCATTTTAGGGGTCCCAGCCTGGAGCTGACAGAAGATTGCTCCTTCCTGCAGGGACAAGGCTGGGACAAGACCTGCATCAATGCCCTCAAAGTGTACGGCGACGGCGCGTAAGTAATTGCTCGTGTCCTGGCCCGCAGCCCTGCCGTGCTCCCTGCCCCACACACCCTGTGCCCAGCACTCCAGGGAGTGAGGGGGATTGGAGAAAGCCTAAGAGTGGGCATTAAGGTGAATTTTGGTGCCCGACCACTGAGAGCTGCTTCAAAGAGTGGCAGCTAAACACAAGCTACAAGCATTTCAAGACATCTTTTTACAGTGTATGGAACAAGATGTTTAAAAGCAGCTTGATCCTTTTTCCTTTTCCTTTCCTTCCTCTCTCCCTTTTCCCCTTCTTCCCTCATGCCTTCCTAACATTTTTGATCATGTTTCCAAATACCACTTTGAAAGCTGCGCAGAGGCTTTTGGGGAGGGTGGGTGCATGGCTCGGCTGGTGCATCAAGGCTTCAACACTAGAAACCTGGGTGGCACAAGTGAGGCTTAAAATTAAATCCTGCTTCTGAAAGACAGAGGCAACTGCAGTGGTGATGCCCAGACACCCCGGGGGGGTCTTGGTCACCCTTGGTGCCTCATGAACTCACTTTGCAGATGAGTTACTGATGCTCAACCTCATCCTCCTGCCACTACAGATGCCCCTAAAAGCCTCAGAAGTATGTAAGATTTGCCTTTTCCTTGTTGTTTTGGTGGAAATTTGTGTTTTCTCTATGGTGTTTGTCTTTTTAAATGTCTTTTTTCTCTTGTTGTCCAATGGGTTGTCTGTCTCCCTTTTCCTCTATCTCACAATTGCGTTTTTACTGCAAGGGAGCTGGGGAATGCCACAACATCCTCCCAGAGCCGGGCAGAGGGTGGCTGGAGGGAAGCACAGGGCAGAGGGAAGCCTCTGCAGAGGAAGGAACATGGATACATTGTTCTTCACCTGTCCTGGACTGGATATTGTGCAGCTCACCAGCCTCCAGCCTGGAATGCTGGACTCTTTCTGTTCATTTTTCCTTCAGTTGTTGCCATCCGATCTTGTGACACCCTGACAGCGAGTGTCCTGCAGGCCCCTTTTTCTGATTCAACCAAGACCTCTGCTCTTCCAAAAATCCAGGCTTATGATTAGGCAATGGCAGTTCATTAAAACTAAGGAGCAGAGCTACCCACTCCCAATGGGAAGAAATGGCTGGAGCCCACTGGGGACCCTGTTAGAGCTGGGCATTTGAGTACCAACACTGTAAAGCCAAGAGGGAGCCCGTGAGTACTCTGGCAAGAGCTTTAGGGCCAATTTACTGCTCAGGTCCTTGTGGCAGAGCCTGGAGCTTGAGAAATTGGGAAGCTGCCCAGAAACTTTCAAGCACTTAAATTTTTCAGATTGATTTTTCCCTTCCCCTACAAAATATATCGGGAGCACGAAGCTTGCTCTCCCTCGCGTGGGATCCTGGGCTGTTTGTGTTAACATGTTACATGACTTCTCAAGGTCCTTGAGTAGTGATAAAAAATTGAAAAAAAAAAAAAAAACAAGCACTGAAAGGAGCATGGTGAGGAAACGCGCTGAGGTTTGTAGTATTACATTCAGATCCCAGGAAGACAGTTGTTGGAAATGCTTGGAAATGTCTGTAAAGTCAGTTAAAAGGTAGGACAGTGCAGAGGGACCTGCTCTCCCCAGGCTACAGGAGGGATGGATAAAGATACCACAGTAGAGAGGTGAGACCAGGGAGGAGAAAGGGACCCCACAGCACCACTTTTCTCCTTTGGATGGACCAAATAAGCCCAGGTGACTCCAGAGGTGCTGCAGGTGTAGGTGATGCTGGGCACAGCCTGGCAAAGCTCTCCCAGGACCCATCCTCTGCCATTTGTGGAGCAGAGGACAGGGGGTCAGTGGAGACGAAGGGAGTTTCAGCCATGGCCTCCATCCGTGATTTTCACCCTCAATTCCCACAACGTGACATCTGTTGGATACAGAAATATTTGCTTCCTTTTCAAAATCCATGGCTGGTGTCACGTGCTGATAAAAAGTTGCTGCCTGCGCTTGTGGAGGCGGGCGTGCCTGAGGGAAGTGATGATGGATCATCTGGAAACATGGAATGGAGACAAACGTCTGCCTTTGGCATGGTGCATGGTGGGGCCAAGGGTGTCCAGCACCTTCCCTGCTGCCCTTCTGGGGCTGGCAACTGTTACCCCACACAGCCAGAAAGGGTGGTGATAAAGCTGTTAAAACCATGCTGGAAATGAGATTGCTATTTTGGAGCAGTTTCGAGGTGTTGCCGCCTCCTCGGAAGCTGTTGCAGGTTGAGTGGAGAGTGGCTTTGCCCTTCCCACGGGCAGAGCCAGCTCCAGTATCACATATGGTATCATCTGATTTTAGATGAAGACGTGCTCATCTCGTCCTCCTTTGTGCCTCAGCCACTCCACAGAGGACTGCTTAGAAACAACGGCTTAAAAAAGCTAAATTTGTTTTGCGGCCCAGGAGAGAATACCCCAAAAAGGGCTTTTCTACACCACAGTGACACAACTTGCAGGAAGCAGACCAACCATTAATTCTGCTGAAGCATTTAGGAGTGTTTGGTAGTTGTTCTGCAGGTTGTGAAATGTCAACCAGAACAGGAACCCAAATGCTGCTGCCCAGTGAACATCACATATTTCTCAGCAGAGGTGATACCTACCTGTGGCACTGCTTGAATCCTACATGGAGAATGAGGGACTTCCAGCCCCACTGAAAGCCTCCTGGTTGGTTCAGGTTGATGCTGCAGCATTCCCCTCCTCATGTGGGAGCAGTCAGTTTTGACTTATAGGGTTTGAGCTGGTTCCATGCGTGTTTTATTCCCATGTCCTCTGGGTTTATGTGCCAATGAAACACAGCACCAAGATGTTTAAGGGCTGTGTGCTATATACCTGCATCAGCTCTCCCATGCTGGGCTTGAGAACAGGATCATCCTTTTTTTTGTTTCTTTTCTGGGCTCCTGACTGACTTGATTTCCTCTCTTGCTGACGGTCTCAGAGAACATAAATTTTTGGCAATAAGGGAATAGCTAAGTAAACCATACAATCCTTCACTCATCACCTTCCACTGCCAATACACTTCATCCCCATCTTTTTGCTATTCCTTTTATTCCTCTTTTTTTTTTTTTTTGCAGCCTTTCCCTAACCAAACGGACAAGCCAGTGGGTTCTTGTCACCACACCAGGTCACTCAGTGTGCTTCCATCTACCCCAAGGCCTGTCCCATTCCCTCCATGTGATTGTGCAGACACATCAACCATGTGTCTGGAGAGAAACACATAAATCTTGGGCAAGACACTGCCTATGAGAGGTTGCTTTTCCCCCTGCTCTATTCCCCAGGGTCCATGTGCTGTTGAAAGTTGTCCTAGAGCAGAGAACAGCTGGAAGAACCACCATGTCCCAGTGGGCCAGCAGTGCTCCGTGGACATCCCTGTTCTACCACCTTGCAGTACCTCTAATAGCATTAGCAGTGATTGAAACGTGCAGAAAACAGGATTGGGAGCTCTTTCCAGGAGTGCATGAGGGAGGGACAGTGAGCTGATGGCCACAGAGGTCCAAATCGTATGAAGATATGGAGAAGTGCGTGTAAGATGAAGGTACGGGGGAGGAAACAAAGAAAGCCATGTGTGCCTTAGGAACAATGCTGGGGTGTATCTAGAGGAGGAGGATAATTTTATGAATTGTTCTTAATTAAGCTGAGGACACTCTCTGCCAGTGCACATCAGGATATGTGATGGGGGGTACATGGCTTCAGGGCAACCTCAAACTGCTGCAAACTCACGTGAGCACCAGGCAGCCTTCTCCATGTGCTGCAAAGTGAACTTCAGAGGAAAAGTCTGAGGATGGCTTTGTAATTCCAGTTCGGATACAAACTGGCTGCAAAAAGTGCTGAAGAATGCTTCCTTGTTTGTGGGAAGCCTGTTGCAGCGATGGTGCAGGCACAGGCCGGGGCAGGAGAAGGGCACCAGGCAGGTCATAGTGGTGCACAGGCAGCTGGGAAAAGGGACCAGCACAGTCCCACCTCGTGTCCTCTCAGAAACACAAGACAAATCCAAATATGTCAGGGAATCTGTAAGATAACTTGATTAAATACCCTAAACTTTTCTTTTTTTTTTTTGTTTTTTTTTTTTTGTTTTTAAATAATGCCCATGGGTGGGTGGTTTTATAAACAACTTTTTCCCTCAAGCCTTCAGCTTTTTTGCTCTGGCTCAGACTGATCTGAGTTCTCTAGCTGTTGTCTGACCCTGGAGGCCCAGCAGTCTTTGACCCATCCAGTACTTGAAGGATTTCTCCCTGGAAATCCCACATACAGGAGGTCCCAGCCACAACGTCCCCGCTGAGTTCCTGGCAAAACAGACCACAGAAACCAAATGACTTGGAGGATTGCATTTCTGCTCTGCTGTCATGGCTGAGCCAATAGATGGGACGAGCAGCACAGATCTTTATAAAATCCTAAAAAACATTGGTAAGAGAGGAAAGAGGCAGAGATGAGCAGCTCAGCAATGACACAGTGGAAACATGACTGTAAAACTGTCAGAGCAATGGCAAAACTTGGTTTAAACAGCTTGGGAGATTTCAATAGAGGACAGAGCTGACGCTTGTGGCCACTTTAATATCATGACAAATGTGACTAAAGGGGGGTGAAGGGAGAGGAAAACAGCAAAATTATCCCTCTTGGCCACTAGAATTGCTCCTGGCTTGAAGACCTTCAAACGGTGAAAGACATGCCATGAGCCATCCCCACAGGGAATGATGTAACCAAGCCAGGTGAAGAAGTCAGGCAAGCCAAAGTCACCAAGGTTATTGAGTGTTTCATCTATTTGACTGCATTCCAAGGTAAAGCTGTGGTTAACTCTGGATGCAGAGATGAAGTGAAGATAACCAAGCCAAGTCCTGCTCTCTGTTGGAAAGCATCAAAGAGGCCATTAAGAATTACTAACAAAGAGAGAAATTACTAAATATGGTTCCCATCATAGCTAATGAGTCAGTTCAAAGAGGCAGAACATCCATCAAGGGTTGCACATTTCTCCTTACTGTCCAAAAGAGGGTTATCCAGGGGCTGAGGGGACTCATGTCCTTCTTTAGCACTATCACAGGCTATTAAATTGTTTCTGTTGCACACGGTGAAGCTCAAAGAGATCCATTCCTAGAGTAATGTGAAGAGGGGAGCATCTGCTCCCAGGCTTCATCACTGGTGTAACCCAGTACAAGGTCCAGTCTAGCTGGGGATGGTTGCCAGGCTACACTAAGGGAAACCCTTGTAGTTTGTGGTGCTGCAGTGCCTAAATGCAGCCACTCCACGTGGGCACTTGGCATGACCACAGTGTTGGGACCCAAGTGACCCTCCCTCTCTGCTCAGGTGGGTGCTGTACGAGGAGCCCAACTACCGAGGCCGCATGTACGTGGTGGAGCGCGGCGAGTTCAGCAACTTCAACGCGTGGCAGGCGCGCAGTGCCAGCGTCCAGTCCATCAGAAGGGTCGTCAACTACTTCTAGCTGAGCTTCCACCCCACCAGCATCGCCCTCCTCCCCTCTCACTGGCCTGTGGAATAAATTGTCAAACACCAGCTTTCGGCTCTAAGTGCCTTTTTTTTTTTGCCCGTAACGAACATGAGTTCAAGAGAGAACAGACTTGCAACCTTTCTAACCTTGATTTACACGCTACGGATTTGCTTTTTTGTTTTACTCTGCAGTAAATAAAAGGACTTGGGAGTGGTATGGGGAGGACTTGAGAGTGGTGGGCCAGAACTGGTGGTGACAAGCAGATCCGGGGTCTTGTCTCCCTCTGCAGTTTTGTGGTCTGACACATGTTCCCTCTGCCCTGACCACCACGTGATGGACCCAGCTGACTCCTGGTGCCTGGAGGGGGTCACGTTGGTGCACACAAGTGTTGGGAGCGCGGGCGCGCAGCCGTCGGAGGCCATGTGAGGACACGTGAGGATCATGGCAGGATCCAAGAGACTCCTGGGGTCTGTCTGAGCGTGACATGCTGGTCTCGATGCAAAGGTGACAGAAATCATTCATCCTGAGTGACTTTGACCTTAGATCAGCACACATTAAAAAATATATTAAAAAAAACCCCAACCCTGAAGGCACAAAACCTGAGCAACCTTTTTTGCTCCCTGATTCATAAGCCTTTCACATGATAATGACATTTCGAGCTATCAGCAGCAAAGAAAAGCAGCACTGCTGCTTATTGCACAACCCTCTTCTCATCTTTCTGCCCCTTCAGTGCTCCCGGTTCATCCCGGTTATTTCAGTGGCCCTGAACCTCATTCAGTGGTTGGCAACGGGTGGGAACTGCTCTGCCCCTTCAGCTATGGACCATCCAAGCCTGGTTGCTTCCCCTTGCAGTGCAGCCCCCAGAAGTGCAGTATCCTCCTTTCTGTAAAATCCTAAGCTGCGTTCAGCCTTAGCTAAGAGTTTTTCTGGCTATTTCAGAAAGGGGTAATTTTATTCCTTTCACTCCGTTACTCTATTAGTTGTTAAGGCTTGGCTGTCTGATGGATCCTGACAGGCACGGGCATGGTGCCGGCAGAGCTGCAAAGCTCTGTGTTAATCCAGTGGGAAGGCTGCTGATCTAACCCCAGCCCAGCCCTTGGAGGGATGTGAGTGAGGCTGACAGGTCCCCAGCACACTGGAGGAGCGTGAGGCGCCTGTGCCTTCAGGGCTGCTCTGTGGGTGTGCAGTGGGAATCTGCCCTTGGCTGAGCAATGGGGAGGAGCAGGGTCTGTGCTCTGTGCCAGGGCAGGTGGCTGGTTGGTCCCATACTGCATCCCAGTAGGATCTGACTGCCATTTGATCAATTCACAATCATCCACCTCGTCGTTCATCTTTCCAGTTAGAGGTTCTTGGCTCCCTGTTGCTCTCTACCAGTAGCAGGACTGGGGCAACTGGTAAGAACAGGGCCTGTGTGAGAAAGATGTGCTTTTCCCATGATGAAGTGGTACCATTGCTAGAGCTCCGTTGATTGAGATTTGTCCCAGATGCACATATGCTTTATATGTATTATGGAGGGTCTGAAAATACAAATTTCTACCTTGTGAACGTAACAACAGTTTGGGTGATGTTTGCCTTAGCAGTGATACAGGCAATCATGTCCTCTTGTAGACAGGCTGTTGTCTGGATGTTATCCTCTACACAAACCATTGCAGAGGCACTACAGTCACACCAGCTCAGCTCTGAACTTCAATGGCCTTGGCCTGGGTGGCTTGTGGTGACGTGGTCCACTGGAGCTGTAAGAATATTTAATATCTTTAATGGGTTGCAAGGTATTTCTGTGTCAGAGAAGGCAGGGAAATGATTCATTCATTGAGTGGGATGCACAAATGCACAACGTGCATCAACTCTCGCGTATTTCATTTTCTTTTAATTAAATGCAGCTTACGAAAGATTTTAGGAGTCCTTCCAGGATTAGCATTGCTCTTGCCTCATGAAGGCTCTAATCGGCTCCTGAGCTCAATGCACTCTATTAAAAGTTAATATTCAGTCATATGCAGTGCTCTTTGTTGTGATCTTCTGGCCATTAATCTGTTAAAAAACCCCAAATGTGGTCCCACAGAAGGACAGGCACTGAATCGTGACGAGATTTAGAGGGGGCTTTTCGTTCATTTGAAGCATGTTCAATGTCACGGTTCAGCACGAAGGATAAAGGAACAAAGGCTTTAAAATATACAGTAACTGGAGTCCCATGTGCTCCAAGTATTTGGAGGACAAAAGAAAAGAAAATAGAGAACAGCCATGAGCCCACATTCCCCTGGGAACAGCAGCATAAGCCCAGAAACCCCCACACCTGGCTTTCTCGACACTTGGTGCATCCAGCCTGAGGAGTGACTGTCCCACTACTGCTGGGATCAGATACCACAGATATCCTGCTCTTTGGTTTCCAGTGTTCAGTGACTCAACTTCCCTCCATGCAGAGCATTGGAGGGACCCACTGACATCCCTTCCTGTCCTTGATGGGATGCGTGGGACTGTGCACGTACACACAGACGTACAGGCTGGCTCCGACATCCAGCTACTGGGTGCAAGCCCACTTCAGCTGCACACTTCAAACTAATTGTTTGTTTATATGTTCTGTTAGATTAATATTTGCCATTTAAATTGTGGAAGTGCTTAGGACCCCAGTCCTGGAGTGAGCTGTGCTGTGTACTGGGAGTTAAAGCACAAAAAAGGCAGTCTGGTTAATCTGTGCTGTTGTGTCTGAGCCTGTTTGTAACCAGCGAGTGTTTAGCCTCCTATAGCACATTTTACACGTCTGTAATATGCCTACAGAGTAAATACTCATCATTTATTAACATCTGATATCCCATTTATGAACACACTCTCAATGCAAAGAGCTGGTCTCATGTGAAGGCTATTTAAAAAAATCCTCTGTATGCTGAAGTCTAATCTTACTAAAAATTGGCAGCGAGGAATTGAATTCCGTCTATTTTTTTCCTGATTTGAAACCTAAGTAGGGTGGCCATGGGCCTAATCCAAACACTGATGCTGCAGGAACATGCATTGCGTTGGCAGTGGGGGGACGTGGCTCTCGTTCTCTTCCTTTTCCCTCCCCCTCCTTGCTAAATCTGCACTTGTTTAAAGGACAGAATGTACAGATCCCATATGTTTGCTAGTGGTTAGGGTGTTTCTCTTTAAAAAAAAACATTATTGACATTGCTCTAGTATGAAATGGTATGATTTGTGAGTTTATAGCGTATGAAATATAAATGACAAAAGTGCCAGCTCGATGTGAAGTGGATGTGAGATTGTGCAGCAGATTTGAGCTTCACATCACTAAACTGTGTATGGTTGAATGAGTTCAGCTACGTGCACCGAGGAGGCAAGAAATGGATTAAGTAAATTGGAAACTATTCCACAAAATGCCAAAGATAAAACTAAGATTCAAGATGAACAAAAGTAACAAGTTATTAATTACCAGAGAGAGAACTAAATGAAATCAGATCCATCTGGAAAACCAGGAAAACCCTAATAATCAGCATTACTGTGCTTGGCCAGGCTGCTGCAGTGTAATATTCAGAATAACTTTGAATTACATCTGGCCCCAAAGCAAATAGCTCCTGCCAGAATGCCTGCATACACGAATGTCCTTTCTTTGTAGCTGGATAATGCGTAAATTTGATGGAATATCTCTTTCAAATGAATCCTTGGAAGATTTTTGAGCGACTGCAGTGCTTTTGAGCAACTGCAGTGCTTTTGCATGGCTATATTACCTGGTACATGTACATATAGTGAAGGTAAGGAGGAAACTGCCTACTGATCCTCTGCTGGCATGTGTGATATTGTCACAGCTCAGATGTATCTCTATTAACTGCTTTCACAGGCGAAAGGGCTGCACAGCCACCTCCCTTCCCTGGGGAATTCAAGAGGTGTTATCCTGCTATTGAGGCTGCCCCACGCTCACACCTTCCTGTGATTTCTTCTCTCCTCCTCCAGAGACACCTCTCTGGACCTGGTGAAAATGAATCCACTCCTCAGTGTCTGCTAGAGCTGTTTTATTACTTCCTTAAGTAGAAAGTCTGGCTCAACAGTGACCTCTTTGACTGACTGCAGAAAGGAAATGAAGAGCCTGAAAAGGTCTCTCTGAACTCTGGCACCAGAAGGAGAGCCCTGGTCACTCTTAAAGTATAAGCAATGACAGGGTAAAAGTGTTGAGAGGACACATCTCAGTGAATGAGCACTGGAACAGGTTTCCCGGAGAGGTCGTGGAGCCTCCTTCCCTGGAGATATTCAGAAGCTGTTTAGACACAGCCCTGAGTAATGTTCTCAAGGGGACCCTGCTTGAGCTGGGAGGTTGGACCAGACAACTTCCAGTGATTCCTTCCAACCTTACCCATTCTGTGATTCTGTGATATTCTGGGAGCGTTGACAGATAACCTGGCTCCCATGCTTTGCCTAGTTCACTTGTCACTTTCTTTTCCCTGTTGTGTTGAAGTCAAAAGAAAATTGGGTGAAAACAGGTTTGACCTTGAAATTTTTATTATCCATGGGCTCAAACTCTTGTCCAGGAGTAAATCTGATATAGCTAACAAGTCCCCAGTCAGATAATATCTGCATAATGTAGTCAGCACCATCAACATTGCAAATGGTGATTTGTTTTGGTTTGTCATTTTAAATAATCTGGTTTATTGGCGAGGTGAAATTCAGTTAAATGAACTTGCAGTGGTTGGGACTCATAGCTAAGTGTCCTCTTGTTCCAAGAGTCACCTTTCAGTAGCAGAGGAGGTGCAATAACATCCCACACAGTATGAGCTGTTCCCATATTTACTGGTGATGGAAAGCAAACACACATTGGAAAAGAGTGGAAAAGGACAGAAATAAAATGTATATTAATTTTCCATGGAGCAACAGAAGCACTGAAGAAAGAGCAAGTGGCTGCACCACGTTTTTCATGGACTGCTGACCATCTTTACGTGGTTCAGGATAAGACAGTTTGTAATCAAGTCAAGCTGTCCTGCTTTAAGCATATGAACATATGGAGGAATGTACCAGTGTATTCAGTCAAATTGTGCGTGAAGTAAACATGAAATCATACTGAAAT